TGGTCACATTGCAAAATTATCCTGCAAAGTCTATACAAAGAGGCCCTGTGCTAATTTGTAAAAAAGTGCCGTCTAAAATTATGGCTTCATTTGAATCAACACCTTTTACTCTGATACCTCCTAATTAAAATCTAATGGAATCAATTACCTTCACAAGTCACCTAATTAGTAAATAGTATTCACCTTTGAGTATTTAAAGTTTAGTAGAAATGCAGCTATTCTGTGAAGGTCTCAGAGGTTTGTTAAGAGAACATTAGTGAATAAACAGCATCGTGAAGATCAAGAAACAAAGCAAACAGTTTCCGCCTTAGCTAATTCCAACCTGGGGTGTGCTTTTACCTTTTAAGCATGAAAGGTTGGAAGACACAAGAAAATAGAGAAACTCTTTAGGAAAATAATAATAAACATAAAGTCAATACAAGACATTTTGGAGAGCTTTTATGCCCTTTTTGTCAAAGTACAGTTCAGGGATGTTTTTGCTTCCAATAAAAAAAGAAATATAAATAGAGGGAAAAAACTAGCAAGCCATGCCACGCTAATTTTTCTTAAACATTCAGAGAAAATCCCTGTTGGGACCCCACAGCCATGGGTACAAAATGAAAGGCCAGTACGAACTTTTCTGGAACTTTCAAAATAAATCGCATTAACCTACTTCCAGCACAGCCAGGAAAAGGGGTAACAGCGGACTTCCCGTGACGTCACTGTCCAAATAAAATCACCGCTTTTGCAACAAGCTGACCTCTTCCACACGGGTCCCCAGAGGAACTGGACAGAGGGACACAACGCGCTAATGTCTCTTTGCTGGCAATCAAACATAACTCTTCAAACTGGATCCAAGAGTGTCATACGATCACGCGATCATATGCACTAAGTTAAGTAGAAATGAATTGCTGTTTGTGTATCCGGTATTCATTCATGAACGGGGCTAATTAAGGTACAAGCGTTGCTTGACTTTTCTCTCTGAGGTTGGAGTCTGATTTGATCCGGCGCTAAAGTAATTTGACTTGCCTTTGATCATCTTGTAAGTCCGGGTTTACAATACTTAGATTGGTCAGATCACCTATGTTTAAAAGGAGCGTGGATGTGGTAAGGTTTAGACTGGTCCAACGTGACTGAATATTTTTACACTATAACAGATTCTGTACAGATTATAGATACAAGTGGTTTATGGGGAGGAAAAATGCAATAAAAAAATCATGTATAGATTTTAAATTTCATCTTATTTCTCTGAACTTAATAATCCATGCGTAAGTCCACGCAAAGCTAAATTTTTACAACTGCATATGCTGTGCCACACAATAATCTGCTCGGCAGGAAAAAGTCTCCACATCGAACTGTTTTATATGTGACACACTGCTCCAGACAGCCGGTCGTAAGTACACGCAGCATTACTGCCACTCTCCGTCCCGCACTGACAGGTGTATTATCCTTCTTTGTCCTTAGTGTTGTTTAATGGATTTTAATATCACCGCTTTATCTTTTTCTTTCTCCAAAAGCTACACGGCAAATTATCTTTGCCTCCGCGTTTGATGACGCCATGGCAAAAAGTGTGGGAAATGTAGGAAATTGGTATGCCCGACTATGAAACCTGAAAATGTCTGCAGACAGTGCCCGCTGAGTCAGGTGTACTGCACACGCTGCTCACAGTACACCTGACTATGTTCTGTCGTTTACTACTTACCCTGACAGCTCACCGGCACCATGTGTTGCATGTACTCAGTAACCACTCTATCATTGATGTTGCCCGTCAGTAATCTAAAAAGATGTGGTGAGGAAACATATTGTCTGCAGAGAACAGCCCCACATGAGGCCGTCCCCCTAATTTCTAGCCCCTCCAAAGACACCTTTGTTTATCAGACGACAGTTGAGATTCATCATGGAGACGCTAACCATCGTGTCATTGCGTTCACATCTGATGCACAGATGCAGGCTTATTCTTGTGCTTCTTTTCTCTGCCCCATTCTCGCTAGAGTCTCACATCATCCTTTCCCTTCCCTGTAGCCGATGGGAGAGCAAACCGCTCTCTTCTTGTGGAATAAGAGAGGCTATTTTCAGATGGACGCAACAACAGCATAGATTGTTAAAAGGTGGGGAGGGGAATAAAGAGGAGGGTATGAATGTTTTTATTGATAAATTGATTCAGCTACCACAGGGTTGTGCTAGAATAAAATCATGTATCACTCAAACAGATCATTTAAGGATAAAGCAGTATATATTCTCCAGTTTGTACAAATAAAGTGCTTATAGCTAACGTACTGCAATGCATTGATACTTTGTTGTCCGTCTACCTACTGGCTGGCCACCTTAATCCTCAGGTGTGACGATCAGAGCTCATTATCTGCGGCCCAGTGAGCGTGTCCGTCAAAGCCCACAGCTTTGGCCATCTCTCAGTATGTCCAAACTGTTTTGGCACATAGCTGAGGATTTGTTCAGGATCACAGAGCGCTTCTCTGGTGCTGGTTGTTTTAGAAGGATCCTTATTTCAGGGCATTCTCCTCACCAATAATTGACTGCTTGGCAACCAAAGTGTCAGGCCTGAATTGAAATGTCAGGCTTTGTATCAGTGCAGAAAAGCCCAATAGAGGAGCTTAGAGCCACACAGATGGAGGTGGTTTGGCCAGTGAAATGACATGATGAGTGAATGTAATTATCTTTTTAGGAGTGGGATAGAGGTCGGTCCAATCATGCAACTAGCAAACACTGTCCCCTGCAATGGTATTCAATGCTCTATAAAGAGTTTTTTCAGTTACAACCAGAAATGTAGATGTATTTTATTGGGACTTTATGTCAGAGACGAACACAAGGTTTTGCATGATTTTCAAGTGGAAGGAAAATGACATGAGTTTTTTATTGTATTAATTATTTATAGAAAATTAGAAAAGTGTGGTGTACATTTGTTTCACCCCCCTTTTACTCTGAGGCCCCTGAATAAAATCTAGTGCAACCATCTGCCTTCAGACGCAACCTAATTAGTAAATGCAGTACAACCTTGATTTAATCTCAGTATAAATGCAGATGATCTGTGAAGGCTTTAGAGGTTTGACGGCATGACGAAAACCAGCAGACAGGAAATATGGTTTCGATGGACCTTAAAGCAGAGTTGGGTTATAAAACAACATCCCTAGCTTTGAACATCTCTTGGAGCAATGTTCATCCACTAAAGGAAATTTTTCAGATTGGTACATGCTTTGTGTTGTTTTAGCGCACAAAACCAAATAAAATACACAAAAGTTTTGGGTTGAAACCTGATAAAATGTGAAATGTTCAAATGGTTTCAATATTTTTACAAGAAGCTGTAACTCCCAGGTGTTCCACTGTGAGGATCTGGGTTTTATTTGTACTCTGGTTTCACTTTCTGTAGAGAAATATTCCTGCTAAATTTATGCTGCTTTTACCTTCTGAGTAGCCCCTTCAATGCCTTCACCATTTCGTAGGCTACAGTGCGGTTTGCATGAAGGAAAGCAGCTGGCAGAAAGTTGAGAAATTACAGGAAGGGATTCTGTTTTACACATTCCGAGAAGCAGAAATGCAACGGGTATACAAAGAGCTGTCGTCTTTAATATTTTAATATGAAGGCCTAATAGGAATTCCCTTTCTTAGTAACTGCTGCTAGCCCTGTGTATAAAACAATGCATGCCTCTGTTCCTGTTTTATGCATAATTAAATTTGAGCTTGTTTCTATTCTCCTTTACGTAGCGAGAAATCTTTTTACAACCTCTTCAGAGATCAGCCAAAGAGAAATCTGATGGAATAACCAGTGCTGACATAAGGTAAAAGGGGACTTCAAGGCTGCTTAGGGCCTTTTCCAGGCTTTGGGGGGAAAATCCATAAGGAACTTTTCATAGTGCCTGCCACCTCGTACATACCATCCAACAGCATAATAAATATGCCTAGTTTAGACCGAACATAAATTAGATTTTAGTGTTTAAAGCCTGTTAGGAATTAGGAATCTAGAACCTGTATTTGTAATAATTGACCTAATACAATATTAAGTTTGAAGCCGATCTCAGAGCTTTATTTTGAAAGGGCATCAGCTAGCCTGCAAGTGACTATTATTTTGCTAATCGATTAATCTGATGACTATTTTTTTGATTAACTGATTAATAATCGGATAGCAAAAAGTGCTAGATTTTTTTATTTTTTTTACAGAATTTGAACCAGCTGAGGCTAAAGCTGTGCCACTGGAGGAGTTCTGGATATAGCATATTTACAGACAAAGAAGGTTTCCATCCTAAATGAAAAATGAATATATTTTTTGGACAATTTTGCCTTAATTACTGCTCTGAGTGGGTTGTTCTTTCAGCAAATGGCATGTTTTAGAGTCTGTATTCTCCAGTTAACGATTACTCGATTACTAAATTTACTGCCAATTATTTCAATAATCGATTAATCACAATTAATCCGAATAATTATTTCAACCTTGGCATCAGCATCGCTTTTTTCATGCTTAGTGTACGTGAATTAGTGACATGAAACCTCGATTTGCAATATTCTGTCCAACAAAAACTTGACACTTTCATTTTGAAGAAATTGTATGTGCTTTTTTTGAAAGGTTAACGATCCATTTTGTCAATGGTTTTGTTAACATAGTGATGCAGAAACCAGTATTTGCAATTATCTAAACTATAAAATACTGAAAAGCCTAAGTTATATTTTGAAAGGACAACATTATTGTCTTTTCAATACTGATTTTGTCACATTAAGCTTATGGAACTTACCCTTGTTATAATCTACCCAATTACATCTTTAGACTTTTACTTTGAAGGCTATCTTTAAGCTATATTTAGAAAAGAATGTAAGAGCTTTAATTTGAAGGGCCCATAACCAATTTTACATTACTGGCTTGGTTAACAATGCAGAACCCACATTTGCAAGAATCTGATAAATTTAAGATGTAGACTTTTATTTTTTAAATATATTTTTGCGGCACTAGAGGCCTTTTTTTTTTCTTCCTTTCTTCGATAATAGGTAGTTAGGAAAGAGGGGCAAAGAGAGGGGGAGACATTCGAGTCCGGGACTCGAACCCGGGACAGCCGCACCGAGGACTATAGCCTCTGCGCATGGTCGCGCGCTTAACCCCTACACCACCAGTGCCACGCCAGACTTTTATTTTTAAGGGTATCTTTAAACTTTATTTTGAAAAGGCCAATAGTGTAACTTTTTAATGCCAATTTTAAGCCCATTAGTCATGTGGAATCGGTTTCTGCAAATATCTAACCTGTGGTTTTTTCAGTAGTTGTCTGAGAACCTAATGTCATTAATGGTGTCGAATCAAAGTGCTTTGAGTCAACTTTGTTCACGTAGAAGCAATCAATGTCACCATCTGACCTACTATGGCTTTCTGTGTTGAGCTTCTTTGGGATGCCAAAACTTTCTTTCCAACATGCTGGCCAGATGCATGCTTTCTGACACCAAACAGCTGTTGAAGTTTCCTTCATGTGAAATCTCTGTATTTGTAGAGGCAGTCAGTTCCTTTTGAATCCACCTGACTTGTACTCTGGAATGATTTATGTCTCACAGGTTGGAGGTCTTTTTCTAATACTTTGCCGAACTCGCAGGCATCCATAACATCTGTGTCAAGGCCTCAGAGACCTCGTTACACTAGATCTCGGCAAGATGATGCCTTGCTTTTCAAAAGAAGAGCAGCAGGTCTTGGATGTCAGGGTCTACCAGAATCTGCCTTTTAAAAAAAGCTCTAATCAATGGAACATACCAGAAAGCTTCCATTCAACATTTCCGTTAATATTTTGTTCTTATTGCTGAGCTTATTCCAAAAAAAGGAATTTTCCTCCTCACATATTTCTTTTGTTTTTGCTTCTTTGTTAAAGTTTTCAGATTGTCAAAGATACTTATTTAATTATTAGTCAGCTATCCACAAAAGGGAAAAAGTAATTGCCCCCTTGTTAAATCATCATTTAACTGTGATTAACCACATTTTTTGGAAGCGGAGTTCAGTTTCTGTAGGCACACCCAAGCTTGATTACTACCTGATCTGTAAGATCAACAAATCACTTAAATAGAACCTTTCAGACAACACAAAGTAGGCTTAAAGATCTCTAAAAGCAAAACAGTGTTGCTGCAACCTAAGAAAGTCAAGAATAGATGTAAGAACAAATTTAATGATATCTATCAGTCTGGAAATTATTTACAGAGCTATTTCCAAGGCTTTGGGACTACAGCGAACAACGATGGACATTGTCTACAAACAGACAAAATGGATTAATGGTGAATCTTCCCAGGAGTAGCTAGCCTACAAAGAACTACTCACAGAGAGCACCGACTACTCATCCAGTAGGTCACAAAAGAACCCAGAACAACATCGGAGGGTGCTGTAGGCCTCACTTCAGTTAAGTGAGTTCATTATTAAACAATAAGAATGGGAGGCTGGGCAAAAACAGCCTCCAAACAGAACACAAGGGCCCATCTCCCACTTCCTAGAATACCCTCTCACTGATCCCCAAGGTTTTGGGAAAGTATTCTTTAGACTGACAAGACAAAGTATGAAAGACAAAAGGTGCTGTTAAATCTGTTGCGATCTAAAACTAAAAGGGCATTTAAGAAAAATATCAAACATGGTGTTGGTAGTGTGATGGTCTGGGCTGTCGCACTTCTTCAGGACCAAGATGTCTTGTCATTATTGCAAATGAAAATCAGACCATGAATTCTCCTCTCTTGAAGAAAATTCTGAAGGAAGACGGTCCATGACCTTAACTGCAAGTGCACATTGGTTATGCAGCAGAATAATGATCCAAAGCAGCAAATCCACTAATGAATAGCTCAAAATTGGAGTGGCCTAGACCAAATCTGGACTTAATTTCAATTGAGACATTGTGACATGACCTTAAACAGGCAAGTCACGCTTGGAAACCATCTAACGTGGCAGAAAATAAGGAATTCCACAAGGCGTGGGCCAAAATTCCTTCATCCTAATCTAAGTGATTAATTTGCAGTTATCAATAATGCTTAGTGCCTGTTGTCTCTGCCAAGGCTGGCACAACCAGTTATAGGGTTTAGGGGGCGATTACTTTGTCAGCTAGGGCCAAGTTGGATTGGATGGCTGTTCATAATAAAGGAAGTTATTAGAATTTGAAATTATTATTATTATTAAAATGTGTTGATCTGGAAAAACAAAAACTGAAGAACGTTTTAGAGTACAAATACTTTTTCACAGCATCATATCTTAAAAATGTGAATATTTTCTATCAACTATCAGACTAGAGGTATAGAAAGAGTGGAAACATTATAATGTGTTGTTTATAAAGTGAAGTTCAACGGCCCGACATTTCAATGAGCCAACCGGGTTCAAAAAGGCAGGTACCCCAACATGGACCAAGCTGTAGGATCTAAAAAACCTCCACAGCAGCTGAGCAGAGAGAGGCCTGATTTCTCTTTATGCCTCCATAAGGCAACACACATCGAAGGCACTTTAGCTGTAGAGGCTGTTACATTTACCCAACAATCAGAAGAGCAAACACTCAAATCTCAGATTAATTTCTCCCGGTCTGTGCAAACAGCTGGGTCCGCTCTCAAACAGAGCAAACCAGTGGACAAGACCTGGCTGGACTGTACTCTACAAGCTTTTAATATTTCCTCTAACAAGTTTCTTTATTTCTCTAATTTCCCTGACAACTGCAGGCACATCTCAAACAATTAGAATATCATCTGAAATCGTATGTATTTTGGTCATTTAAATTCAAAAAGTGAAACTTATAGATTTAAAACACACCAGGTAATATATTCCAAGTGCTTATTTCAGTTTATTTCGATGAAATATTCAGTTCCTTGACATATCTTTGCAGGAATCTGCAGAAATTCCTGCTTTGCCAAAATTAGCAGTCTTGTGTGCTTTTATCACCAGAGATCATAATATTATAGCAAAACAGTTGATATTTGGGAATTCTTTTGGAAAACTTTTGGAAGCCTTTCCAGCCTGCAGCACTATTCTTCTGAAGGACAGCTTGTTTAACAAGCAGCCATATGGTGAAATGAAGATTGAGCACAAGCACTTTAACAAGTAATTATTTAATAAATAGACCACTTACAAACCTGTTAAATCATTCAGGGAGGCTTCTCAGTTTTGAAGGTCTTGTTTCCTATTTTTATCAATATGAACAATGTGATTGTAAAGCAACAGGTGACCAATCAGAGGGTAAGCAATCAATATGTCTGCTCTTAGGTCTTAGGTCTGCAAGTCTTCTTAAATGAATGGAAGATCAGTGTTTGGATACTGCAGTGCCCACCAAACCAATCTTTGGGCCTTTGCAAAAAAAAAACAAAAAAAAACTTGCTGGGCATATTTGGGTGTCCCCCGATGTTGTGGTGGTCATAATACATGAACTCACTCATAAATGTGTAACCAGCCTCCTCTGTGGCACAGAGAGAAACGGCGGCATGGTTTGAAAGCCTAAAAACATCCCCGAACAGAGGTGGTTTGTTTTGCTGCAGGTGAAATCAGGTGATTTTCATTTCTATTCTCAGGAGAAAGAAAAACGCTTTCTCTTCAGCATCCGGCTTTTGTCACTCTGAGAGCACTTCAGCCAAACACACTAATATGAAAGAGGCTGGGAGTCTATTCTGTGGACATCAATGGTCATATTTTCTGTTGGAGAAAGGGACAAAAAACACAGCAGGTCAGATAGCATTAGTCTGGATAAACATCAACAAGAGCAGCAGCCTCTTTTTATTAGACCCCTGCTCCTGGAAGCAATGGCATGTGGGGCATTTTATTTCCCGGAAGCAGGCATGGCTGCTGGTGCATATTGTTTCCATGATGCAATTTATTTTGCAAGAGAGCAACAACAAGCGTGTGTTATTGAATGAAGGCTGATAGATAAGAACAATAGGAAAGATGTTTTTCAATTTTAAATTGTTCTGTAGAAAAGCGGCACACACTGGCGCTGCTGCCTGGTTGCTGTGAATACCAATCGCTGTGGGTGTGGGCTGTGGGGACAAACAGCACTCTGCAGTGAAGTGCTCCCTCCAGTCTGTCTGTCCTTTCTCTGGCTTTCTGTATTCTACCCCTTCTTCCTTTTTCACAGTGGCTCAGATGACTTTTTAGTTAGTTTGCAGATAGGAAGTTTCCATGCAAAACACTTGCAACCTCAAGCAGCAGCAAACCTGCATCTCATAAAACTCAAGTAGCAGGTGAGCAGATAGAAAGAGTAACTTCATCTTTATGTGACCAATATTCTGGTGGATCTCTGCATGGTAACTTATGTTCTTTTTATGCCTGCACACTGGTAGCAGCCATGGCTGGATGAAGCAAGTCTTGGGGTTGGACTGCTAATAATTGGAGTTACAAGTTTTAGCTCAAGTTAAAAATAGCACCCTCTGGTGTATTAACCAGATCCTTATCTCTCCCCTTCAACTCTTACCCCACAGGTTTTCTCTAGGTTGTAGGTCTGAGGACTCAAAAGGTTATGGAAAAGTGTGATTTCTGTCTTTCTGTGTTGATTTGGCCATTCATTTTGGATTGTTAAGGACAAGTTAGGACCCATTTTAGGTTTTCAGGAAGAGTCCGCAAGATATTTACTCAAAATGTACTGCTACTAGAAGCAATCTTCTAGGGTGTTATCTTATATTTTCTTCATCCTTCTTTCTCTCCTCCATTCTTTTCTCCTCCTTTGTTTTTCCTTTTTGCCCCACCTCCCTCTCTTTGCTTCTTATTTTTTCCTTTTCATTTCCATCTCTGTGTCCATAACAATTGATATAATCCCAAAGCAGGTTCTAATAAAGTTTCTTTTATAAATATCAAGCAGAGCACTATAGTGTTGGCAGTAATGCTCCACTTGTGAAAGCAAATCTGTTGGGCTTTGTCTTGGCACTCAGACAACAATTCTGGGTGTTACTCTTCAGGACAGGACACAGTAAAAAATAAAAATTACTGACAGAAAGGCCCACAGCATCATGGGTACTTAAGAGTGGACATGAGATCATTTTAAACATATTTGTCCTCTTTCATAGCAGAGCCACCTGGAGTGTTGGTTGCTAAAATGCTAAAACATTTACTACAGCCTCATTCCATTCCTTGTGAATCTCCTCCAAATTCTTCTGTGGATTTTACTTGACAATCCTCTCAGTGCTGCAGTTATTCC